CCACCACAGGCTCAGCCATCTCTGCTCGAGCTGTGCTGGCCCTCACCGCCACCGTGAGGGTGCTGGTGACGCTGACTGCCCTGAGCCCCAGTGGGTGGATAGGGTCCCCCCGGGGCTGCAAAGCCACGCCGGGGACCCCTGGGAACGGGGGGAGCCTTGCCACCGCCACCCTGCTCCCACCTGGCAGGAGCTGCCAGCAAGGGGTAAGCCAGCCTTGGTGCAGCCGCAGGGACCCCAGGGCTGTCCCACCCCAGGGGCTGCAGCGTCCCGCTGCTGCCCACCCTCCTGCAGCTTTGTGCCACCAACATGTGGCCGGATGGGCGGGTGGCTGAGGCAGCCCCCGAGGGACAGCCAAGCAGATGCGCTTTGGCAGGCTGCTGGGGAAGGCACAGCCGGTCAGAGACCGCCGCTGGGGCTGGAACCGGGTCCTGTCTGGATCCGGATCCGGCCCTACATGCAACAGCCCAAGCGAGCGGGTCGGGATGGTGCCTGGGAAGGATGCTCCCACATCCCCTGGAAAGCTCCTTCCTGGTAGAGGCTCCGCAGCCCCAGCTCGCTAATGAGGGGCACCGCTAACGCACAGCATGGTGGGCCTGGCCCCAGCAGCACCTGACTCCAGCACGCAGCAGCCGTTCAGCTTATCTCTTTACTCACAATACAACCGTCTTCCTGGTGCCGACACATCTACTGGCACAGCTGGCACTGTGCCCCGACATGGCTAGAAACCCCCCAGGTACTCCCTACGAAACTAGAGCTGAGCTTTTCAGTTTTGTTCAAATCTGCAGCATTAAAAAAAAAAATAATAATGGGGAGAGGAAAGGACGTGGGGAAAGGTGTCCAACCGGGGGCAGGTCGGATGCCTGAGCCTTGGCTGGATCCTCAGACCAGGCTGGTGCCTTGGCAGGGCAGAGGTGCCACGGGTGACTGCTGGGGTGCTCCCCCGCATCGGGGTCTGCCGGTGCCCCAGCTCACTCCCCTGTCGCTGATGGCGCTGGCTTAGTGGGGGGAAGATGCAGCCTGGCATCCCTGCCCCGCCCCAGCTTTGGTCCTGCGGAGCATCCCACTGTCACCCCCCTCGCCTGCCCCGGTGCTGAGCCGACACTGGGACAGGAACCAGGGGCCGGCGGGGCCGGAGGGGAGCGTTCATCAAATGGGCTGCCAGGTCTTGTCAATGGTCTGAATGTGCTCCTTGGCTTTCATGCGGAGTGAGGCGATACTGGAGCTCCTCTGGTCCACCTCCTCCAGCGGGTACTTGTCCACAAAGGTGGTGCCACACTGGTAGGGTGCAGGTGCCATGGGCTGCATGCCCTGCGCCATTGGTGGGGGGGTGTTGAGGAAGGAGTGCCCACCGTAGGGGGTTTGCAGGGCCTGAGGGGCTCCCATGAAGCCAGGGATGCTGTGGACCGTGGTGGCGCTGGAGATGGGGGACGTCAGCCATGGATCGAGCGGGAGGGAGTTGCTCATGGGCCCCACGTTGGGGGTCATGGGGGGCCGGTTGAAGGACAGCACAGGAGTGTCATGGAGCTTCATGGAGCTGGCCTCCATCTTCTCCTGCCGCCTCCACTTGGCTCGTCGGTTCTGGAACCAAACCTGCGAGGGGAGAGCCAGAGTTAGCCCCACCATGCCCAGCCGCCCATTGCAGCATGCCCCCCCTGCCGTGTCCCATGCAGGGTGCCTCACTCGGGGTGCTCCAAGTGGAGTGTCCCCTATGGGGAATCCCATCCCACGTAGGGTGCCCCACAGGGCTCCTGCAGTGCCCAGCACACCACACACCTCTGCCAAACCCTCCCTCAAACCCCTGAGACGGAGGGTATCTCCCAGATGTGGTCAGGAGAGCTGTCACCAGGCAGCCCCTGCCCTGCAGGCCATGGGAACATGCTCCGTCTGGACACTCACACAGTCCTCGCTGTAACATTGTCTGCCATTCAAAAGCCTCTCGGTAAAACTTTTAGAAGCTGAACTGCCACAGTTACACCAAAGCCCCACAGGGACGAGAGGGACCAACGAGCTGAGGCCAGCAGTGATGTTTCACCCCATGGGAGCTGCCCATCAAAGTGCTGGTCCCCATGTCCCCAGGGCCCCTGTCAGCATGGGGCACGGGCTGTCTGCCCCGCGACGCAGAGAGGGAGTAAAGATGAATGGCTGGGATGAGAAAGGGATGTCTCCCATGGGCTGGTCACAATTGTTGGTGGGTGCTGGGCTATACTGGTGCAAGCTTTGTGTCCAGAGAAGAGCAGTGGAGCTGGGAAGGGTCTGGAGCAGAATTCCTGTGCGGAGCAGCTGAGGGAGCTGAGGGTCTTCAGCCTGGGGAAGAGGAGGCTCAGGGGAGACCTGATCGCTCTCTACAGCTCCCTGAAAGGAGGGGGCAGAGGGGGGAAGGTCAGCCTCTTCTCCCAAGCGACAAGTGACGGGACAAGAGGAAACAGCCTCACGTTGTGCTGGGGAGGGTCAGATTGGATATTAGGAACAATTTCTTCATGGAAAGGGCTGTCAGGCATTGGAAGGGGCTGCCCAGTGAGGTGCTGGAGTCACCGTTCCATGAGGATTTGAGAGATGTGTGGATGTGCTCAGGGACAAAGTTGAGGCTCAGGGACATGGCTCAGGGACTTGGCAGTGTTGGTTAACAGACGGACTTGATAATTTTAAGGGTCTTTTCCAGCCTAAACAATTCCATGATTTTATGAAACTGGTTGCTGCACAGAGAGCTTGGCAACGATGTTCCTACGGTCTGGACATCCTCAGAAAAAGGCTGCATTGTCTGGGACTGGGGCTGAGGCCTAGGAAACTCAGTTCATTTGTGAGGGGATTACTGCTTTGCTTTGTAGTGAGTTTGTTGCTTCTTCAAGTCCCTGACCCTTTCCCTCACCCCGATCTTGCCCTGTTAGTCCCAAGCTGCAGCTTCCCCCCCCCCGCAGAGCCTTCTCCTGCAGCCCACAGCATTAAACCTCCCCATACCTGCTCACCCCTTGGAACCGCCCCACCCCAACAAGCCTAAAATCCCCAAATCTGTGAGGATCTTGTGCTTTCCTGGGCTTAAAGACCTGGAAGTGGCCACAAGCAGCTGAGGTTTGCCTGCTTTCCTGTGGGATCAGCTGGAGGGATGGGAGCAGCCACACGGGAAGAAAATTTCTGAACCCCATCCCCCTGCCCAAACACAGCCTCTGGCACGTGGCTGAACTGGGACCTCATGGGGGAACAAGGCTCAGCCATTAAATCCCCTCTCTGGTTTTGGCAGGAGCAGCCAGCTCTGCGAAGATGTCGCTCCCACCCCGAGCAATGAGGAAACTGAGGCACGGAGTGAAGCAGTGTTGGCAGAGCTGGGAACACAATAAAGCTCTCCAGCCCTGGGTGTTCCCTCTGCCACTACCCAGGGGACAGGTCCAGTGTGCTGGGGCCACCAGGCATCCTCCCTACCTGCACGCGGACCTCTGGCAGGTTGACCTTCATGGCCAGCTCCTCGCGGCTGTAGACGTCAGGGTAGTGGGACTTCTCGAAGGCGCGCTCCAGCTCGTGCAGCTGGTAGGTGGTGAAGGTGGTGCGGTTCCTCCGGTGCTTCTTCTTGGGCTGCTCCTCCTCGGCAGCCTCCGGTGGGGTGCCCTCACTGTCCCCCGGCTTCCGCAACTCACCCAGGTCCCCCTCGCACTTATTCAGGAACATGGTGGTGCCTGCAAGGGGACCACGGAGGTTAGTTGGGGTGCAGGGACATCGGACCCCCCATTCAACCCCAGACTGGGGAGGGATGGACTGATGGGAGGATGGAGCAGGCCCAGTAACAGGTTATGCAAAGGCATAATCCTCTCTTCTGCCACAGCATTATCCTGGAGCTGCAGCATCCCAGGGACTAGTCTGGGGTCCCGGGGACAGCATCCTGGGTCCCCTGCGCTTGGCTCCATGGTGAGATGCGACCAGGCCAATGTGCCTGCCCAAAGCTCAAACTCGAATTTCACCTGAAGTCGAGGATTTTATGAAAGTGCGTCACTGAGAGCCGACCTGACTTCCCCCCTGCTGTGGCAAGGAGGGAACAAGCCTGAGTTGGCTCCCTCCTTCCAGCTCAGCTCCCCTCCTCCAGCCTCTCTTCCCCATATGCTACGAGTCTGGCCCCACAACGCTGTAGGACCCAGTGTCGGTCCCCATGGGCAGCTGGAGCAACCTGGCCCCGTCCCCCAGCTAATAACTTTTTTCCTGCACGCTTATAAGCGTTTTCAACCCTTGCAACGTTTCATCTTTAAGCTTTTTATCCGGCATCTGAAATCTTCCTGCAGTATTTGCTGGGGATTAAAGGTCCCTTTCTACCATGAGGATGTAGGCAAACATGTAAATGGGGCAGAAAGCTGTAATCCTGGAGCACTTCTGCAGGGGGAAGGTGCTGCATGGCCCAGACCTGCCAGCAAAAAATGCGGCGAACAGCAGGTGTGGGGAGGGAGAAGGAACACCAGTTAATACTGGGAGGGAGTAAACGGGGGTCCCGAGGGGGCGGCATGCAGGGGTGGGCATCAGGTGTTGCTCAGGCCGTGCACGTGGGGGGGCTGTGCGGCACGCAGGGTGGGTGCCCATGTGTGCAGTGGGCAGGGCAGTGCAAGCAGTGCTGGGCAGCAGACAGTCTGCACGTACAAGGATGTGCATGGTGCGGGGTGCTGGCGCAGGGGGTGCGTGTGGCAGGACGTGGGAGGGCACGCATGCAGTGCGGGGGGAATGCGTGAAGTGTGTGTGCGGTGTGGGGCTGGGTGTGTGTGTGCCACATGCCCGCAGTGCAGTGCCCAGGGTGCAGTGCCTGTGTGCAGTGCGTGCAGCACACACAGTGCAACGTCTGCACCTGCAGCATGCAGGGTGGATGTGTGCAGTGCATGCAGTGCGTGTGCAGCATGCACAGCTCAGCGTGTGCGAGGAGTGCAGGGTGTGCGCAGTGTGTGAGCACAGCGTGAATCTGTGCACAGTATCTGTGGGTACGCAGCGCATGCAGAGTGCATGCTCTGCCTTTGTCTGCTGTGCGCATAGTGTGTGCAGTGCAGGCATGTTCAGAGCATGCAACACGCCTCGTGCAGTGCTGTGCACGCTACGCATGCAGGTGTCCAGCATGTGCAGCACACCCGACGTGCCGTGTGTGCCCTGTGTCTGTCCGTGCTCTGCCTGGCTTTTCTGCTGCACGCTTAGAGCGTGCACTCTGGGTGTGCAGCACGGGCAGGGCAGGGGTGCAGCGTGTAAAATGCAGGCAGTGCGTGCCCACGGGCCATGCCCACAGTGTGCGCAGGGCACGGTGTTTGCAGTGCGTGTTGCAGGTGCTGTGTGTGCAGTGTGCGTGTGGCATCAGCGTGTGCGGCTTTGGGAGCTGCTGGCTCCCCAAGTCGCCTCCTGGCCCTTCGTGGGGTGTTCTGTAGCCCTGGGGGCTTTGTCCAGCTCTGGGCCTGGCCCTGCTGCTGCAGGGGGGCTGCAGTCTTGGGGTGACCTGGGGGGAGCCATGAACCAGGGCAAGGGGTGCTGGTGCTGCACCCTGTGGTGCCCTGAAGCATGGGTGAGTGGGTGCTGGGGGAAGCAGGGGCCCTGTTGTCACCATGTGAGCATTGTGGCATGTCCTGGGGCTGGGGAAATGGGGAGAGAATGGGGTGTCCCACCACCATTCTGCTCTCACTCACCCGCTTCTCATTTGCGCAGCTCCACACCTGCAAGGAGAGGGGAGAGGGGGTGAGCACCCAGAGCACCTGGAGCACACCCTGGGGCACA